GCTGGCGACACCCAGGGGGAGGGCCTTCTCTGTGGGAGCCCCAGCCCTGTGGAACGAACTGCCCCCGGAAATTCGTAAGATCTCCGACCTCCGTGTATTTCGCTGTGCCCTCAAAACCTTGTTGTTCCGCCAGGCCGGGCTATCAATGTAATGATTTTAATTGGTTTTAAATGTGGGATTTTAAATTTGGGGGTTTTATAATTGAGCCAATTATTTAATAATTTTAATTATTTTTAAATTTTGTCTGTCTTTGTGCTTTTAATCAGGCTGTACAGCGCCCTGAGTCCTTCGGGAGAAGGGCGGTATAGAAATAACATTAATAAATAAATAATAAATAAATAAATTCTCAACGGCACCGCTAACGTGAAGCAACGCCAACTCAGGATGAAAATAAAATAATGTTGATTCTGAATTGTATTAAGGTCCTCGGTGTCCCCCGCCATTCTGCCACTCTAAGCTGCAAAGAAAAGGGGTTTTTTTCCCCCCTTCACTCATCATCATCATCATTTAACGACCCCATAATCGGTTGCGGGGTAGAGTCTGGGCAACTGAATGGAGCTAGCAGAGTGTTTTAAGCGCCGGATGCTCTTCCTGTCACCAATTGCAGAGTTTTGTTCAGCAGACTCGCAGAGATTAGAGATTGCGCCCTGCACAGGACTGCATGAAGGTGCTTGGAGTGAAACTAGGATCGAGGTACATTTAGTGACTGTTCCGAAGTTACAACGGCACTGAAAAAGTGACTTATGACCATTTTTCACACTTGTGACCACTGCGGCATCCCCGTGGTCAGACGATCAAAATTCAGACGCTTGGCAACCAACTCATATTTATGACGGTTGCGGTGTCCCGGGGTCGTGCGATCCCATTTTTCAGCAAACTCAAGCAGGAAGGAAGACAGATTCACTTAACAACCAGGTTACTTACTTAACAACGGCAGTGATTCCCTGAACCCCCCTGTGGCAGGAAAGGTCGTAAAATGGGACAAAACTTCATCACTGTCTCGATTGGCAATGGAAATTTTGGGCTCAGCTGCAATTGGATAACCTGGGATCAATTACTTAAGCCCGTGATGGCGAACCTATGGCATAGGTGCCACAGATGGCACACGGAGCCATATCTGTGGGCACGCGAGCGTTGTCCTACCTCAGGCCTTCTGGGCCCACCGGAAGTCAGGAAACGGGCTGCTTCCGGGCCTCCGGAGGGGCTGGGGAAGGCTGTTTTTGCCCTCCCCAGGCTCCTAGAAAGCCTCTGGAGCCTGGGGAGGGCAAAAAATGGGCCTACTGGGCCCACCGTGCCATCACGGGCCAAAAGCAGGGGGGAGAGCGGGAGGATCATGCGTGGGGGGACAGGGCGCACTGAATTATGGATGTTGGCACATGCATGTGCAATTTCCCCACTCTGCCCGCTTTTGGCACGCGACGGCAAAAAGGTTAGCCATCATTGACTTAAGCTGTAAAAAAAAAAAAAGTGGACACAACACACACACACACACACACACACACACACACCCCTTTAAATCAAACCTGCTTTTCTTCTCTTCGAACATAAAAATTTGCACTTTTGCTCAGCTAAGTGAGTTTTCAGAAGGGGTTGGCCTGCCCAAAACCCATGAAACGGCGGGCTGTTGCTTGTTAACAGATGCACCGAGGCAGCGGAAAGTTGTTTAGCTGTTGCTGTGGTTGTTGAGGTTCACAAATCCCAAGGGCAGCCCACCTGTCAAACCCAACGGACTTCCTGCCTTGCCTGCAGAGATCGTAACACTTTGAATGTAAAGTCACAACTGTAGAAGTTGATCGAAAAGAGGGTTGGTTAGATAATGAAAGAACATGTTTTAATGTTAGCGTGTGGATTAATAGTAGAATCACACGGATTGGGTGATTGGAAAAAAACCTAAGTAGATTAACTCTGTATGTTTAAAGGATTGTGACTGGTACTAGAAGTGTATACTGAAACGCCGAACGATGAAAGAATGAAGGATGAAACTTTAATATAAATAGATGCGAAGAGCTAAATAAGGGAAATATGAATAATAAAGGAGGGGGAAGGGAGAAGATAGAAAAGGAATGTCTTTGAATATTACGGTGACATGAAAAAAAAAGTTAAAGTACAGATAGAAATAAGAGGGAAATAATTGGAGATTATATATATATATATATATGGGGTGAAATGCTCCCGGTTCGGACCGGATTGCCCGATCCAGTAGCGATGGAGGCGGGTGGTTCGGAGAACCGGTAGCAAAAATCCCAGTGCCCCCCCCCACTTTGCCCAGCTGAGCTGCACAATCATCAGAAGCTTTTTTTTAACTTTTAAAAGCATTTTTTCTACAACTTATTTGGCCGAAAAAAATGCTTTTAAAAGTAAAAAAAAAAAAGCCTCTGATGATCGTGCCGCTCAGCTGGGATTGTCAAAGGCTTTTAAAAGAAAAAAACCCTTTTTTTCTTTTAAAAGCCTCTGACGATCCAAGCCGATCAGGCAACTCGGCTTGGATTGTCAGAGGCTTTTAAAAGAAAAAAAGGGTTTTTTTCTTTTAAAAGCCTTTGACAATCCCAGCTGAGCGGCACGATCATCAGAGGCATTTAAAAGAAAAAAAACTTCTGCCGATCAGGCAACTCAGCCGGGATCCTCAGAGCCTTTTGAAAGCATTTTTTACAACCCCTTCACCAAAGAGGTTTTTAGAAAAAATGGTTTTAAAAGTAAAAGAAAAAAAATTGGCCACGCCCACCCAATCACATTACCCCCCCAAGCCACGCCCACAGAACCGGTAGTAACAAATTTTAGATTTCACCACTGATATATATATATTAATATAACAAGATATATGTAATAATAAGAGGGAGGTTTAGGTAGTATTAGGGATGTTTAAACAATATGAAACAATGAAAATTAAATGTAATAAATATGAGTAATAATATTATGCTTATTTGTATTAAAATGTATGATCACACTATTCATGCATTCCCCCAAAAATAAACCGTCCCCAAAAATATTTAAACGCCGAGCTGGACTTGCATCCGTTCGTTTAGGCACCCGTTTAAAGTTACAGCGGTACTGAAAAAAAAAAAAAGACTTATAACCGTTTTTCACACTTACGACCGCTACAGCGTCTCTGTGGCCGCACAATCAAAATTCAGAGGCTTGGCAACTGACTCATATTTATGACGGCTGCAGTGTCCCAGGGGTCACGAGGTCACCTTTTTGCGGCCATCAGACAAGCAAAGTCGATGGGGAGGCCAGATTCACTTAACAACTATGTTTATTAAGGTAACAATTGCACTGATTCACTTCACCTCTCGCCTTGACTACTGCAACACTCTCTACATGGGGCTCCCCTTGAAGAGCACCCGGAGGCTCCAGCTGGTCCAGAATGCAGCAGCGCGGGTAGTGACAGGAGAAGCATGGCGCTCCCATGTAACACCACTCCTGCGCGAGCTGCACTGGCTCCCAGTGGTCTTCCGGGTGCGCTTCAAGGTGCTGGTTATCACCTTTAAAGCGCTCCATGGCATCGGGCCTAGCTATCTCCGAGACCGCCTGCTGCTACCGACAATCTCCCATCGACCCGTGCGCTCCCACAGAGAGGGCCTCCTCAGAGTGCCATCAGCCAATCAATGTAGGCTGGTGACCCCCAGGGGGAGGGCCTTCTCTGTGGGGGCACCTACCCTCTGGAATCAGTTGCCCCCAGAGATAAGGAGAATCCAAAACCTCCGTGCCTTCCGCCGTGCCCTTAAAACCCACTTTTTCCAGCAAGCCGGGCTGGCTTAAGAAGAAATTTTAAATGTTTTAATTGGTTTGTATTTTTAATTTTGGGCCAAATTTATATATATTTTAATTGTTTTTAATATTTGTATTTCATGTTTTTTAATTCTGGCTGTACACCGCCCTGAGTCCTCAGGGAGAAGGGCGGTATATAAATTTAAAATAAAATAAAATAAAATAAATAAATAAATAAATAAAACAACTGTGGCAAGCAAGGTCGTAAAATGGGGCGAAACTCACTGAGCAACTATCTCGCTTAGCAACAAGAAACGATGGGTTCAATTGTGGTCGTAAGTCAAGGGCTACCTATATGTGGCTAACCGACTCATACTTATGTAACTCTGGACAGCATACGAAAATTGCTGACCAGGCTAAGAGAAAAATAACACAGGTAGTCCTCAACTTACAACAGTTCGTTTAGTGACCGTTTGACGTTACAACGACACTGAAAAAAGTGACTGATGACTGTTTTTTCGCACTTACAACCGTTGCAGCACCCCCATGGTCACGTGATTTGCATTCGGATGCTTGACAACTGACTCATACTTATGACGGGTTGCAGCGTCCTGGGGTCCCGTGATCCTCTTTTGCGATGAGCAAAATCAATGGAGAAGCCAGATTCACTTAACAACCGTGTCCCTAACGTAACAACTGCAGTGACTCACTTAACAACTGGCAAGGAAGTTCGTGAAATGGGGCAAAACTCACTTCGAAACTGTTCTCGCTTAGCAACCTAAATTCTGGGCTCACTTGCAGGTCGTAAGTCGAGGACTAGCGGTTAAAAACCCCACTGGAGCCAACCAAAGCAATTCAAAGGCAATCAGCATTAGAAATCTGCCTGTCGAATCCTGAAGATTCGTTCTAGATAGCTGGGGCAGCCTTCTACATTTCAAGAAACGAACCGAAATAGGAAACAAACTCACAATTAAGCCTAGCGATCCTACCTTGACATTTTGAAAGTAAAAATAAAAAGGAAAGAGAAGTACGCACAACTAAAAAGCAAAAAAAAAAATAAAAAAATCCAACTTACCAGCCATGGGCTATTTCCCAATTCTGATTTCTTGAAAGCCAGGCGCGAGGGTACATATCCCCAATCCTCCCCCCATTGGAAAACTCATTGCACTTTTAAATATTTCTCCACTCAGATCTGACAGCCGTTTACCTCGAGAGAGAGAGAGAGACCTACTCTTTTAAAAGGTGTTAATTTCTTTAAAAGTTATTTTCTCTCTCCTTGAATGAACACCCACGTGCTGTGTGCGATGTCTCCAAAATGAGGCCACTCTTCAGGCTTTTCCTACGCTGCTCCAAGGAAGTGCATTTTTCTTCGTTGAACAAGCCAGCATCTCCTTTTAGGAAGCAGGGAGGGGGAAAAAATCAGCTGAGAAACGATCAACTCAAGTCTCTGGGTTTTCCTTCGCTGGGAAAATGGCTCTTGATAGTAGCTTTGCCCGTAATTAAGGAGGCAAAGCGAAAGGAAAGGTAGCAATTTCACACACCAAACGGCATTCAGAGGGAAGTAACTCGGCTGGTTTGCACGGCCAGCCTCAAGGAAGGAAGCTGCAAATTCTCCAATGAAGAGTCATACATTAATCACTTGCATAAGCTCCACTTGCGTATCTAAAAAGGATAGAATAGAATAGAATTCTTTATTGGCCAAGTCTGATTAGGACACACAAGGAATTTGTCTTCGGTGCATAAGCTCTCAGTGTGCATAAAAAAAATACATTCATCAAGAATCGTAAGATACAACACTTAGCGATAGTCGTAGGATTAGAGGTGGGTTTCAGCAGGTTCTGACCAGTTCTGGAGAACCGGCAGCGGACATTTTGAGTAGTTCGGAGAACCGGTAGTGAAAGTTTTGACTGGCCCCGCCCCCATTTATTCTCTGCCTCCCAAGTCCCAGCTGATCGGGAGGAAATGGGGATTTTGCAGTATCCTTCCCCCAGGAGTGGGGATGGAATGGAGATTTTACAGTATCCTTTGCCTGGAGTGGGGTGGGAATGGAGATTTTACAGTATCCTTCCCTTGCCACGCCCACCAAGCTGCACCCACAGAACCGGTAGTAAAAAAATTTGAAACCCACCACTGCATAGGAGACTAAATAAGCAATCGAAATCATACTAGGACGCAGGGTGGATAAAAATCAATGATTTTTTTTTAAAAAATCAAAAAAATCAGATTTTTTGTTTAAATCGGATTTTTTTTTTAATCAAATTTATTTTAATAAAAAACTTTTAGGGTAAAAATCTATTGTAAGATAGTTTTCTATTTAAGATACATAAATAATTTAGTTTATTCTGCATGAAATGGAGCTTAGTTATGTAGCATGAGGCTGTATATTCTGCAACACTGGGACTATCGGTGAGTCAACAGCGGGTCAAAGGAGTAGCACAGATGACAGTTGCTCTTTAAAAATTATGATTTAAATCGAGTTGATTTAAATCAAGCCTTTTTACTAGTGATTTAAATCATGATTTAAATTGTGATTTAAATCAACTCGATTTAAATCAAATCCACCCTGCTAGGACGTAAAGGTTATGGTCGTTAAGTAGAAGGAGATAGGTAATAGGAAGGATGAGAAGAAGAATAGTAAACACAGTCTTAGTAAATAGTTTGATTCATAGATTGCACTCTACTTAAATCTTTTCTTGCAGGTGTGACTTATGGGAACGAAGATGTATCAATAAAGGAGAATATTTGTAGCTCAGGATTGAACTGTGGGGTCCTTGCTGCTCTCTGAGCTTGGCGGTTTTCTTGTAGACGTTTCAGGACCCAGCTAGGGAACATCACCAAGTTCAGAGAGCACCAAGGACTCCTATATTTCAACCCTTAGTTATAAAATAAAGTATTTTGGAGGTAGCCGTCAATTTATGACCGATTGCTCAGCAACTGTTCAAAGTTACAACTGATGATGATGAGCAGTCACGTAAGGGTTGACTTTCACCCGTGGGACTCGCTAAAGCTCTATTTACATCTCATGAAAACCAAGTGGTTTTTTTTAAAAAAAAATTCATTAGCTATGTCAGAAGTCTTCAAACTTGGCAGCTTTAAGACTTGGGGACTTCAACTCCCAGAATTCTCCAGCCAGCTTTGCTCGGCATCCGCGATGCAAAACTTTCTGTGAACTGCAGGGCCCTTGGCTGCATCCCCAATTAGTAAAATTACATTTCAGCTCATGGAAAAGGCTCCCAGCTCCCACCTTCTTCCTCCTTGCAGAGTGACAATTTCAACTTTTGCAGGCTTGGAATGAAAAAAAAAACATTTAAACATGTATTCATTTTTTTTGTATTCTTTTGAACTGCTTCAGGGTTTCCCCACCACCAGGTAATAGAAATCCGGAAGGGAAGGGAAAGAAAGGAAAGGAAAGGAAAGGAAAGGAAAGGAAAGGAAAGGAAAGGAAAGGAAAGGAAAGGAAAGGAAAGGAAAGGAAAGGAAAGGAAAGGAAAAAGATATGAAGGGAAGGAAAGGAAAGGAAAGGAAAGGAAAAAGAAGAGATGAAGGGAAGGGAAGGGAAGGGAAGGGAAGGGAAGGGAAGGGAAGGGAAGGAGGAAAAAGATATGAAGGGAAGGAAAGGAAAGGAAAGGAAAGGAAAGGAAAGGAAAGTAAGAAGAGATGAAGGGAAGGAAAGGAAAAGGAAAGGAAAGGAAAAGGAAAGGAAAAGGAAAGGAGGAAAGGAAAGAGGGAAGAAGGAAGGGAGGGAGAAGAGAATATCTTATTTGTTATAAGACTAACTGAGATTCAAATTGGGAACTATTGGATACCACTTTAGTCCTAGTCCTTTTTTTAAGGCCCAAAACTGGAAAATTTAGCAGACCTGAAATGAAGTCTGGTTAGACATGGCAGTTTGGTCTAGTGCTGGAGGTCCCAGCCTTTTCTATACCCCGTTTCTGATATATTCTCGCACCCCTTACAAAAATAAATTATGCATATAATTATGCATATACACTATAATTTTGAAACTTCCAAACCCAAGTTTTCGCACCCCCTGGAATATCATCTCGTACCCCCAGGGGATGCAAGCACCCCCGGTTGGGAACCCCTAGTCTAATGGTTAAGGCGCCAGACTAGTAACAAGGAGATTATGAATTCTAGTCCCAGCCTTAGCCAAAAAGCCAGCCGGGTGACTTTGATCCAATAAACAGGAGATGGTGAATTCTAGTCCTGCGTTAGGCGTGAAAGCCAACCGGGTGACTTTCAGCCAATCACCAGGAGATGGTGAGTTATAGTCCTGCCTTAGGCATGAAAGCTGGCTGGGTGACTTTGGCCAATCGCTAGGAGATGGTGAGTTCTAGTTCTGCCTTAAGCATGAAAGCCAGCTGAGTGACTTTGGGCCAATCACTAGAAGACTGAGAGTTCTAGTCCCGCCTTAGGCATTAAAGCCATCTGTTCTATTGGACCAGACTTGTTCTCTCTCTCTCTCTCTCTCTCTCTGTCAGACCAACCTACCTCACAGGGTTATTGTTCTGTGGAAAATAGGAGGGAGGGAGGAGTAGGTCCACTGCCTTGATGATGATGATAATGATAATGATAATGATAATGATGATGATGATGATAATAATAATAATAATAATAATAATAATAATAATAATAATAATAATAAAGGTGGGATATAAATAAAATATATAAAGGAATGCTGATTTCTTCTCCCACCTACTTCCTATTACTCCTGCGAATCTGAGCCTCAAAGCTTTCTGAAAACAGCGCCAAAAAAAACAAGAAAAAGTTTTCTTTTTTCTTTTCTTTTTTTGATGGACTTCTCTCTAAGTGTGTGTCTGGGTATGCTACAACGGCAGCGCCACAACGACCAGGGGAAAATCTTGCGGTTCTCTCCTGCCCATTCGTGCCTCAGCCCCTCAGTGACAAAGCAGCGCACATTGGCGAGGAAAAACAAGTTGTGGGTGAAAAAGAAAAGCAGGTAGCAAGGAAACACACCACACACACAGTTTACCACAAGCCAGTAACTGAAAGACATTATTTGCGGGGGAAGGAAAGCTTGCTGACTTGTGATGAAATGTGTCACCCATGAAGGCACAAATGGGACATCAAGCCAGCCATTTTTCTCTGTTCCCACACCCCATCTGCCTTCCCAGTCTGTTGAGTTGTGACGAGCCATCGCTGAAATGTACGCAATGCGCCTTGTTTGAATGCCGCAATTCTGAACACACACACACACAAAAAAAAAGGGGGGGAAGAGAGTTGTGAAAATATATGTCTAGAAGTAGTCCTTGACTTATGACAAATGAGCCCCCAAATTTCTGTTGTTGAACAAGACAGTGGCTTGTTTGTTTAGTTTAGTTTTATTAAATTTGTATACCGCCCTACTCCCGAAGGACTCAGTGCGGTGAACAGGCACAGGATAAAATACAGAAATGCAAAAGTTAAAAACAATTTAAAACCAAATTAAATAATTTAGCCCACGACAATTAAAATCCCAATAAATTTAAAACAAATTAAAATTTCAATTTAAAATTTAAAAGAAAGGGGAGAAAAACTAGGCCAGGCCGGCTTGCTGGAATAAGAGGGTCTTAAGAGCACGGCGGAAGGTGCGCAGATCTGGGATCCTCCGTATCTCCGGGGGGAGCTCGTTCCAGATAGTGGGTGCCCCCACAGAGAAGGCCCTCCCCCGGGGGCCACCAGTCGACACTGCTTGGCTGATGGCACCCGGAGGAGCCCCTCTCTATGAGAGCGTACCTGGCTACCTGGAAGACTTATAATTTAATGCGCTACCTATTTCCCAATCTTGATCCCTTGAAGGCGTGTGGACTTCAACTCCCAGAATTCCCCAATTGCCAAGGTTGAGGAACACTTGAGTCATGCTGGCTAGGGAATTCTGGGAGTTGAAGTCCATACACCTTAAAATTGTCAAGGTTGAGGAACACTGAGTCATGCTGCCTAGGGAATTCTGGGAATTGAAGTCCATACACCTTCAAGTGGCCAAGGTTGAGAAACACTGAATCATGCTGGCTAGGGAATTCTGGGAGTTGGAGTCCACACGCATTCAGGTTTCCAAGGTTGGACACCCCTAATTTAAAGGAAAGAGAGCTGACACCATTTTTCAGAGAACTGGCAGTGAATCTAATACAGTCCAAACTTCCCATTGCTAAGCGAGATGGTTGTTAAGTGAGTTTTGCCTCCTTTTACCACCTTCCTTGCCACAGTTGCTAAGTGAATCACCGCAGGTGTTAAGGTACTAACACAGTTGTTAAGTGAATCTGGCTTCCCCATTTGACTTTGCTTGTCAGAAGGTCGCAAATGGGGATCACATGACCCCGGGACCCTGCAACAGTCGTAAGTTCATGCCAGTTGCCAAGCATCTGAATTGTGATCATGTGACTATGGGGATGCTGCAATACTTGTAAGTGTGAAAAACGGTCATAAGTCACTTTTTCAGCAGTGTTGTAACTTTGAAAGGTCACTAAATGAACTGTTGTAAGTAGAGGAACGCCTGTACAGCACACTCAAACCGATATGCTCCCTTATAATTATTTCTCTTTTCCACTCTCAGAAAAATGACAAGCTGTAGGTCACTTTGAAGAAAATGAGGTTAGGTAAACCAAGTTAG